TACTCACACACACACATACACACACACACACACACACACACACACACACACACACACACACACACACTTCTTTCTCTAAATATTTTCCTGGTGCTGAGTTAATTAGTCTTGAACTGAACTGATGTAAGTATACGCAGAGTTGACATAGATAATAAGAAACCACGATAAATGACAGACTAATAAACAAACTGACGCTATAGATTCAATTACATGAACGAGAAGATCAAGACAGAGATGGACAAGTTATAAGAATGGTTTAGTGTGAACGTGTCACATATTGACAGAAGAATGACCATGGTACGTGTGAGAGTGGAGTGCTTCTGTAGGTGTTGGTGTTACTGAGTGAATGATTGTGTTGTGATGATCAAGTAGTATTCACTGAGTCACATGTAATATTAGTTAGTTATAAAAGGTCAGGTGTGTTGAGGGTTACTCGTTAAATATTTGTTTACAGTTTCTTCTTCCTTTCCTCACTTCTCTACCACTTCTCTCCTTTTCTACATTTCTCTCCTGACAATTCTCTCCCATTCTCTTGAGGTTTCTGCCCCTTTGATCCACCTGCATACATTCCAACAGCCAAAAGACCATCGACAAAGAGAGAGATTTTCTAAAACTCAAGAGATGAAAAAAAAGAAAATAATTAAGAGGCCGGATATATTCACCTGTAGTTCACCGACTCTAGGGATATTCCCCCACCAAATAAAACCCTTTCTTACTAGTAACAGAGGCTAGTAATTACTGTGTAAGAATCACAACACAGGAGGGGACGCAGAATAATGGATGTAATAGTTTGTTTTTGTTTGTTCTTTATGTTCTTAGTTCTTCCTCCTATTGGTGATGTGGAGAGATGGTGAAATGTCTGAAGAATGGTGGAGAAAAACAGAGAGAGAGAGAGAGAGAGAGAGAGAGAGAGAGAGAGAGAGGCTTCTTGTGTTAGTGACTATATATATATATATATATATATATATATATATATATATATATATATATATAAAACAAAGAAGTATGTGTGTTTGTGCGTCCGCTCGAGAATCTCGGAACTTACTTTACCGATCTGTAGTGATGATGGATGGTGTTATATGTAGTGATGATGATGGATGGTGTTATATGTAGTGATGATGGGTGGTGTTATATGTAGTGATGATGGATGGTGTTATATGTAGTGATGATGGATGATGTTATACGTAGTGATGATGATGGATGGTGTTATATGTAGTGATGATAAAACAATAAAATAATAACAGTTTAATGCTAAAACATATATGTTTTGGCTGTACGGTTGTAGTGGAACTTACACCGTTAATGAACTATTGATGGAAGAAGAGTTTTGGGGACTGAACAGTGAGACAATGTGGAGCCCCGGAGGGTGGCGTCCTACCGTGGCCTTGCGAATGAGCCGCCCGACCAAACTTGGCATGGATATGGGATCTAAGAAACCCCAACCAACCGATCCGACACACCCAACAAGACCCGACCCGTTAAACCACAGAGGTTGAAAAGGATGTGGAAATGTTGTAAAGTCCTCAACTGAGCTCACTAACATGGTCTACCCAAACATTATCCACCACTACAAGGATCACAAGTGGCTGCGTGAACGAGCAATTTTGCACCAAAGAATAAAACAGTGGCTGAAATCAACATGACTACTCAGACAGCTTCCAGGCAGTGAGACCTCTTTCAAATCTGTTGATACAGTAATCGACCAGACCAAGCAGTCCACTACCACGAAGAATTCCTTAATTTTGGAGCCGGCTGGAATGCCTCCTCACCACCTCACTCTCAAGATTGGAACCCTATAATGCTCTTAAGAAATCTTGAACCTAGCGAAATGAGGAAGACCTGAGACTGACTCGGTCAATATTACTATCATTACTATCAGTTGATATTGTTCCACTAAGAAGGTAGATTACGTGGGTTAACTTCGCCTCCCTGAAGAGAACCTTCGAGACGTCCTGGGCTCGAGGCCAAGTAAAGAACATAGACTCTGTATAAACAATAGAGGTGAACCAATTATATTTTTTTTATCTCCCAATGATCGAGTCTCTAAAATAAAATATGGTTGAAATTTTCTGACCGAAGGAAAAAATTTCACTAGTTTTAGTTGGGTGATCAACCTGAAGGAACAGTGACTAAATTATTGTATTGTTTACCATATAAGACACCATTCATAATTTCCTGTATGATTAATAAACCTTAAAAAAAAAGGTTTAATTGTCCTGGAAAAGTTCTACCAAACAAATCTAACCAAATTTTATCTTTTGGAGCTGTGTGAAACATGGACTCTGGGTGAAACATGGACTCTGGTGAAACATGGACTCTGGGTGTGAAACATGGACTTGGTGAAACATGGACTCTGGGTGAAACATGGACTCTGGGTGAAACATGGACTTTGGGTGTGAAACATGGGCTGGGGTGTGAAACATGGACTCTGGGTGTGAAACATGAACTCTGTGATGGACTCTGTGTGAAACATGGATTCTGGGTGTGAAACATGGACTTTGGGTGTGAACTGGGGTGGGTTGGTGTGGTGACATGGACTGTGGGTGAAACATGGACAGTGGGTATGAAACATGGACTGTGGTGTGAAACATGGACTGTGGGTGTGAAACATAGACTGTGGGTATGAAACATGGACTCTGGGTGTGAAACATGGACTGTGGGTGTGAAACATGGACTGTGGGTGTGAAACATGGACTCTGGGCGTGAAGCATGGACTGTGGGTGTGAAACATGGACTCTGGGTGTGAAACATGGACTGTGGGTGTGAAACATGGACTGTGGGTGTGAAACATGGACTGTGGGTGTGAAACATGGACTCTGGATATGAAACATGGACTCTGGGTGTGAAAAATGGACTCTGGGTGTGAAACATGGACTGTGGGTGTGAAACATGGACTGTGGGTGTGAAACATGGACTGAAGGGTGTGAAACATGGACTCTGGGTGAAACATGGACTCTGGTGTGAAACATGGACTTTGGGTGTGAAACATGGACTGTGGGTGTGAAACATGGACTGTGGGTGTGAAACATGGACTCTGAGTGTGAAACATGGACTGTGGGTGTGAAACATGGCTGTGGGTATGAAACATGGACCTGTGTGAAACATGGACTCTGGGTGTGAAACATGGACTCTGGGTGTGAAACATGGATTCTGGGTGAAGCATGGACTGTGGGTGAAACATGGACTGTGGGTGTGAAACATGGACTCTGGGTGTGAAACATGGACTCTGGGTGTGAAACATGGACTGAAGGGTGTGAAACATGGACTCTGTTTGTCAAACATGGACTCTGGATATGAAACATGGACTCTGGGTGTGAAAAATGGACTCTGGGTGTGAAACATGGACTCTGGGTATGGACTTGGTGTGAAACATGGGTTCTGGGGGTAAGAGAAAGACGGAAACAAAAAGACGAGATGGAAATATTAGTGGATGATGTGGCGTAAATGGTTTGATGGCTCCTGTTCTCTTGCTTGTAGGGAGAGAAATAGGTCGTATCAAGTTATGAAACTATCTCCTTCTCCTGTTACCCCAACTCCTCTTTCATTACTTCTAGAAATCGGTTTAAGGCTATTCTTCGTAGGGCCAAACGGAATTTAATAAAAAAGACCGCTGTCCTGACTAATTCTTCCTCTAGTAAATCCTTCGGGTCCTTAACCAAAAACATCTGAAATAACTTCTGCACTCCTTCTTTTTTCCACTCTTCCGACCTGATAACTCTAGAAACTCTCTGACAAAGCCAATCTCTTTGACACCCTTTCTCCTTTAATTCCACCAGACGATTCCAACTCTATCCTCCTAACCCTGCTCCTCCTGCTGAACCCTTTCCTTTTTGCTGGTGTGCTATCCATGGGATGTGAGTAAGGCACATGGACCGGACGGAATACTCCCTCGTGTTCTGGGGAGTGTGCTGAAGCACTGGCCCCTGTGCTTGCTCGCCTCTTTCACCTTTGCCTCAAAACCCAACTTTCCTTCTTCTTGGGAAGCATGCCTCAGTTCAGCCCATCCCGAAGAAGGGTGACCATTCTAACCCCTCTAACTATCGCCCCATTGCCCTAACTTCATCCCTCTCTAAGATTTTCGAAACTATCTTGAACTCCCATTTTCTCCGTCACCTTGAACGCCTTTCTCTTTTGTCGGATCACCAGTATAGCTTTCGCCAGGGAGATATCTACTGGTGATCTGCTCTCCTGCACCCATCTTTGGTCATCCTCTCTTAGGGATTGGAAGACTTTCGTCGTGGCCCTCGACATCTCCAAAACATTTGACAGGGTATGGCACAAGTCTTTGCTTTCATACCCTCTTTGGTTTCTCTCCCCACTTGTTCTCATCTCTAGCTTCCTTGAGAACCGATCCATGGCAGTTGTTGTCGAGGATCGATTTCTCGTCTTTCTCTACCAATAGTGGCGTCCCACAGGTTCTGTTCTTTCACCAACTCTCTTCCTTCTTTTATCAATGATTTACTTCACACTACAACTAATTCTATCCATTCTTACGCTGATGATTCTACTCTTCACTCTTCTTCACATTTTCCCCTTCCTCCTAACTCTCAAACTAGATCTGTTTCTAGAGCTGATATCATTACATCTATCAATGCAGAACTGTGCAACATCTCCGAATGGGGAGATAGAAACTTGGTTAAATTCAAATATAATAAAACTCAGTATTTACTAATTACACTTTCCAATTTAGATGATCTCTCACCAATCACATTTCAGGACGCAATCATTTCGCCAAATTCTAAAATAGATATGCTAGGCCTTACCATTTCCTCTATTATGTCATGGAAGCCACATATCCTCAACGTTGCTAAAGCTGCCTCCCGAAAGTTGGTAATGCTGTACAGATGCCGTAGCTACTTCACTCCTGAGCAGTTCCTTCAAGTATATAAAGGATTCATTCGTCCTAACTTGGAGTACTGCTTTCATATCTGGGGATGGCTCTTCTTCTGTCCAACTGTTAGATAGGGTGGAATCAAAGGCATTCGTCTTATTAACTCTCCTCCTTTAATTGATAATCTTTCTTCCTTTCTCTTCCTTCCTGTTGCTTCACTCTCTCTTTTACAGGTATTTTAACGGGCAATGTTCGGTGGATTTGGCATCCTGTGTACCGCCGGCAAGGCCGTCTTGCCCGCGGTGCCCACCATTCTCTGTGGATGTTGGTCCAATAGTATAACCCGTTATAACATCCTTCTTTCCTCACACAGCCAAAGTTTGGAATGCTCTGCCTTTTTCTGTGTTTCCATACTCATTCAATCTGTCTCACTTTAAAAACTGGGTTTCCGGCATCTTAGTGGTGTAGAGAGAAAAAATGATGAAGAGGAAATAGGAAGGATGGATAAAGAATCCACTTGTCTTTTTGTGGGGGGGGGGTGGCAGTCAGGATGCAGCAGTGTGTGTGAATAAGTATTGTGTTCAGTGAGTCTGGGTGAGTATTGTAGATGCCTGATTGATTTGTCTGGTGAAGACTGATGCTAGGTCGTGTAGAGTGACCAGGTTAAGTTGGATTAATGCTTGGGGTTTTGTTGTGGGAAGGAGCACTGCGACAAGACACATCAATCACAGGTGAAAGAATGAAGAGGGAGAGGATGTGTGTGTGTGTGTGTGTGTGTCTGTCTGTCTGTATGTCTGTATTTCCTGTTGATTCTAGTGATCTTACATTTTAGTGAAAAGGTGAAAAAAAAAATAAAGGTTTATTTTTTTACCAACCTGTGTCTTTTATCAACACACACACACACACACACACACACACACACACACACACATATACAAAACATTAAAAAACCCTGCACAGTGTCAACTCTGAGCCCATAAAAGTGACTGCATAATAAATCACACATGAAAGACGGCCCGAGGGAAGGTAGACGGCGGAGTAAGGATGAATAATTTAGGAAGTTAACAGACGAAAAAATTGAGGGAAAAAATATCTTTGATTCATTGGGGCGACGAGGCTCAGATGTTGTGTACAGAGTGATTCATCTAAACTGTTGGGAAAATGGAATTTATACGGTAGGTGACAGAACAGGGTGGTAATGGTGGCTGATCTAATGGGGATGGAGAGACAGAGAGGTGGAGAGGAGAGAGACAGAAGGAGAGAGACACAGAAAAATGAAGATGGATAGAAGAGTTGAGAGAGAGGGAGAGGAGAAGTAAGAGAATTGACGGAGACAGAAACACGGAAAGGGAGAGAGACAGACAGAATAGCGAACGGGAGACACAGAGAAATGGAGATAGATAAAGAAGAGAGATGGAAGGGGCAGATAAGGAAGAGAGAGAGAGAAACAAAAGGACCAGCTCTTCTAAAATAAGTTTCCATAAATATTAACACTTTGTTGATCAATTATAAGAGGTTATATATTATTCCTTAATTAGATCATTTTACCTTTTAATTCTATATCAACTAATACTAAAATTATCAAGCATCCTTAGTCTGTCCACTATTGCGAGGTTCATGAGGTATTCTGCGAGCTTTAACACTAGGTAAACAAACACGAGTTGCCACATCTCACAAAATGCCAGCGACTGTACCAGGTTAAGTGTAGGTGGCTATACTGTTCTAATACCATGTAAACAAACACAGAGTTGCCATCTCACAAATGCACCACGCTGTACAGGTATAGCGTGGTGGCTATACTGTTCTAATACCATGTAAACAAACACAGAGTTGCCACATCTCACAAAATGCCAGCGACTGTACCAGGTATAGCGTAGGTGGCTATCTGTTCTAATACCATGTAAACAAACACAGAGTTGCCACATCTCAAAAATGCACCAGCGACTGTACCAGGTATAAGCGTGGGTGGCTATATTTCTATTGTGTAAACAAACACAAGTTGCCACATCTCAAAATGCAGCTGCATTAGTGTAGTGGCTATACTGTTCTAATATGTTTAAGGAAGTGGCTGTACTGTTCTAATACCATGTAAACAAATACAGAGTTGCCACATCTCACAAAATGCACCAGCGACTGTACCAGGTTAAGTGTAGGTGGCTATACTGTTCTAATACTACTGTATGTAAACAAACACAAAGTTGCCTCTCAAAAATGCCAGCGACTGTAAGGTATAGCGTGAGTGGCTATACTGTTCTAATACCATGTAAACAAACACATAGTTGCCACATCTCACAAAATGCACCAACGACTGTACCAGGTATAGCGTAGGTGGCTATACTGTTCTAATACCATGTAAACAAAAACAGAGTTGCCACATCTCACAAAATGCACCAGCGACTGTACCAGGTATAGTGTAGGTGGCTGTCTGTTCTAATACCATGTAAACAAACACATAGTTGCCACATCTCCAAATGCACCAGCGACTGTACCAGGTATAGCGTGAGGTGGCTATACTGTTCTAATACCATGTAAACAACACATAGTTGCCACATCTCACAAGACTAAGGGCTAAGGGCTACATGGCTTTTCCTCCACAACCTATGGGTAAACACAAAGGCTTAGTGTCCCCTGGGATGAACCACAGGCCGGGGTAAAGGCAGACAGGAAATTAAACTTACCTCACCTGGGAAACTTTGTGTTGTGTTAGAGATGTTATATTGTAGTGTTGTGTTAAATATGTTATATTGTAGCGTTGCGTGTTATCTTTACCATCTGTTACAGTAGTGTTATATTAACCAGCTTTAACGTAACTATATGAGGAACGAATGATAACAGCCTCCTTACCTTGATATCGACCTTGACCTAATAACCCCTTAGCAACGTCTCACTACACAACCTTGACCTAACAACCCTCTACAACACAACCTTGACCTAATAAATCCTAACAACCTCTAACAACACAACCTTGACCTAATAACCCCTAACAACCCCTCACAACACAACCTTGACCTAATAAATCCTTAACAACCCCTGAAAACACAACCTTGACCTATAACAACCTCTTAACAACCCCTCACAACACAACCTTGACCTAATAAATCCTTAACAACCCTCACAACACAACCTTGACCTATATTAACCTTAACAACCCCTCACAACACAACCTTGACCTATATTAACCCTTAACAACCCTTCACAACACAACCTTGACCTAATAAATCCTTAACAACCCCTGAAAACACAACCTTGACCTATATTAACCCCAACAACCCCTCACAACACAACCTTGACCTATATTAACCCATTAACAACCCCTCACAACACAACCTTGACCTATATTAACCCCTTAACAACCCCTCACAACACAACCTTGACCTAATAAATCGTAACAACCCCTCACAACACAACCTTGACCTACATTAACCCTTAACAACCCCTCACAACACAACCTTGACCTAATAAATCCTTGACAACCCCTCCACAACACAACCTTGACCTACATTAACCCCTTAACAACCCTCACAACACAACCTTGACCTAATAAATCATAACA